TTCGATTGATACTTGCTTTGACAACTTGTTTAGGTGGAGTACAGCGGCGACCTGCTGTTCGTGTTCGAAACGAAGCTTAATCTGATGAAGCTGAAGGACGAGTCTGTGGCATCGCCGAAGAAGAACCAAAGGCTGTTGAGATACTCAGAAGAAGATGCGCTGGAATCGCCTGAATCGTCTTCGGATGACGACTCTGCTGCACCACTGCCCTCCAATAGACTGGGCAAGACGTCTGAAAGGCAACCAAGGTGAAGCGTTCGTTAAGAGATTCTTTTCGCAGATTTTCTCACTTCAATTTTTCCCTCTGACGTAGCTGTCCCTCGCATAACCCAAAGTATCCTTTCATTCACCATCCGATGGTTTTAGCATGAATGGTTTTAGCACTCGTTAGGTACTAACTTTTGTACACTTAAGTTTAACTACAAATCACTATCAAATACGGTTTTATTTGACGCATCGCAAATTGCAGAAAATAGCGCTACGTTAACCATCACCCCATTTCACTTCGTTTCCAACCAATCCCTGCTCCTAGGTGCCTTGGGGGCCGTTTAGGCCGGGCATAGCTCCATGATATTCCCCACCTACATTGCTTAATACATATTGCATTCTTTTGTAGTGACGGTGTCAATCATAACTCTGCTAGTAGAGCATCGGACTCATATTAGAGGGCACGATTTCGAGCCCATGTCTGGTCACTCAAGAAGGGTGCATAAGGTGGCCCCTAATCACAAATGTATAAAGGTAGCCGACATGTCAATGGTTACAAGCTTTCTTTATGTAGTCACCTGTTACATTCCGGGCACTGGTTATTTACGTACCTCGGTGGGATGAATGGCAAGCCCAGATTCGAGCTCCCGATCTTTCAGCCTCGAGTTCTGGTACTGCACCAAATGAACTACACTGGCATGGCGCAGAATAGATGCTTGGCTTAAAAGTGACGGTGCATTTGTCCGTTGAACACATTACACAACGCAGTAGGACGATATGGTGCCGCCATTTTGGTGCACCCTGTTTGGGCACGGAGCGCTGGTTGCTGTCCGAGGCTCGTTGCAGCGGGCACCAAATTGAATCTGCTTTAACTGATAAGATAATAAGAAATTTACAACTCCACCGTTGCCGGTCCCAAGCCCAGTTGAGAAAGGAGGAGGGTTGGAGACGATTGCGAAGTCTCCGTAAAAGTTAGCCATCAGCCACTCATGGTATTGGCGCCATCAAAATTGTACCAGTTCGGTCGTCTTCCGGGTTACCAAGGGCCGTGCTTCATGCTGCGCGACTGAGACAGACTGCAAAAAATTTGCGATCAGAACCTGCCCATCGTCCTCTGCCAGCTGAGGGCGTAGCAGCACAACAAAGGCTCACAAGATGGACAGAACGACGACGAAGATACCAGTCAGCAACGGAGGAGTCGCTATCCGTTCTGAACGGAAGAGGCAGACAGCGCAGTGTCATCATAGCACGTCAAAAAGGGCTCCACGAGAATGACACCGCCAGTGGGAGCTTACAGTCGGAAATTGGAACATATCCTCACTCAGAGGAAATGAACAAGAGTTAGTTGATGAGGCCATAAAGTACTAACCCGACATTGTTGGACTATTGGCAACAAAGCACCAAAGCTCTGAAATCCTGAGCCTCAGCGGGTAGAAGCTGTTCTGCCTAGGTGTCGATATTACGACGCGCGATCAGGTTGGTGTTGGTGTTCCGGTAGAACCCAACCTCGAAAATACAATCTTTGG